CTGTCAGCTGATTTCTCAGCAGAAACCTTCCAGGCCAGAAGGGAGTGGCAAGAAATATTCAAAGTGAAGAAAAACATGGAACTACAACCAAGATTGACTGCTCTACCCAGCAAAGCTATCATTTATAACTGAAGGTCAGATAAAGAGCTTCACAGACAAGAAAAAGCTAAAGGAGTTCATCACCACCAGACCAGCACTATAGGAAAAGTTGAAGGGTCTTCTTTAAGAAGAAGCGAATGAACAAAAGAATCTGACAAACTTAATAGATCCAGAGACACTGACGCATGCAACAGACAATCATATTTCAGAGGAAAGAGGGAAGGAGGGTGGAAGGTGGGAAGAGATTAACCAAAGAAGTTACATGCATATATGCATAACCCATAGACACAGACAATGACGGGGTGAAGGCCTGGGGAGGGGGTGGGAGGGAACTGGAGGGGATCAGTTGGGGTGGGGGAAATGGGACACCTGTAATACTTTCAACAATAAAGATAAAGGAAAAAAAATAACCCAAACAGAGTGTCCAACTACTATGGCACAACAGCAAAAGGTATAACATGTATGTACTGGGGCTACCAAAAAGAGAAGAGGGAGAGAAAGGAACAGAAGAAATATGTAAAACAGTAAGACTAAGAATTTCCCCAAATTAAAAAAGTAAAGAAGTATTCCATGTTCACGGCATGAGTATGTAGATTCAATATTGTCAACAAGTCCATTCTTCTCAGTCTGATCTTTAGGTTCAACGCAATCCCAATCAAAATCCTGGCAAGTTATTTATATGGAAGCAAAAGAGCCAAAATAGTCAAAACAATGTTGAACAAGAGGAACAAAGTTGGAGGACTGTCGCTACCCTATGTCAAGACTTAAAGTGGCAGTAAATCAAGGCAGTATGGTATTAGGGAAAGTTAGACAAATAGATAAATGGAACAGAGTAGGGAGCCCGGAAACAAACCCACGTAAATGTGGTCTTTGACAAAGAAGCAAAGACAATGGAATACATTTGTCTTTTCAAGAAATGGTGCTGGAACAACTGGACATCTACATGCAAAAAAATGAACCTGGACTCAAAACTTACACCCTTCGTGAAAATTAAGTCAAAGTGGATCACGGACCTACATGTAGAATGTAAAGCTATAAAACTCATAGAAGATATCATAGTGGAAAATGTACATATACTTGGGTATGGCAGTGACCTTTTAGATACAACACCAATAAGCTAGATTTCATTAAAATTAAAACTTCCTCTCTGCAAAAGACAATGTCAAGAGACTGAGAAGACAAGACACAGGCCAGGAGAAAATATTTGTAAAAGACACATCTGATAAAGGACCGTTACCCAAAATATACAAATAACTCTTAAAACTCAACAATAAGAAAACAAACAACCCAATTAAAAATGGGCAAAGACTTTAACAGATCTCACCAAAGAAGATATGCAGATGGCAAATAAGCATTGCAAAGATGCGCTACATCGTAGGCCATCAGGGAAATGCGAATTGAAACAATGATACAGTATTACACACCTACCAGAATGACCAAAATCCAGAATACTGAAAAAACCAAGTGCTGCTGAGGCGTGGAGCTAAAGGAACTCTCATGCCCGGCTGGTGAAAACGCAGGCTAAGGAAGCGCAAGTATCCACCTTCTCCTCGGGGTCTGTCTGGGGTCAGCAGGGCACTTCCCGGGTGCAAGTGCAGAGGCCTGCTGACCCTCTAGGCTTGTAGCTCCAGCCCAGCTCTGTCCGGCAAGACACGGTTGCCAGGACTAGACAGCACGCTGTCCACCCCTGGGCTTCACCTGGCCTGAAACGCCTTCCTCCCTCCCTCTCTGCTCATGTAGCGAAATGTTTGGAGTAGAGTTCTGGGGTCAGACTTCAAGGGCAGATCCCAACTCCTCTGCTCACGTGCTGGGTGACTTTGGACAAAGCCCTGCTCCGCCTCAGAGCTCAGATGGACATAACAGCACGTGCCACAGAGGGCGCGCCACCCAGCGAGACCATGCGCATCCAGTGCGTGGTGCATGCAGTGCCCGGTGCAGGATCAACAGCCTGTCCCTGCTGTCTTACCGTTACTAATTTTATATTTAGCCTTTGTATATCCCCCCTCCCTCATGACCCTTATCTAACCACCCCTGGTCAAAATAATTTCTCTCTTTTCTTTGAACTATCAGAAGCATTACTTTTCCTGTCACTGGTCTCGCGCTGGTGCGTACTGGCCAGATCCCGGGTCACCTTCCCGTGTGGATACTGCGCAAGATTCTGAAAGAAACACGAAAGAGTTTCCTCCTCTCAAGTATAACATTTTTAAAAACAAGACCCAAATCTAAGTCATCGTATGCGTTCTGGCTGTTGCTGTGACTGAGGCCTTTCCCTCCCGCCCTCGGAACCTCCCCCTTACAGGCGCCGGGCGCTGGGCCGGTGGTTCCGAGGGAAAGCTGCGCCTCAGGGGCGCGCCGCCGGCACCGAGGGCGGCCTGGAGGGGAAGCGGGCTGGGAAAGGGGACTCCAGGTGGGGCAGAATGGAGGGAAAAGTGTTTCTTAACAACCCCCTCCCTTCACCCGGGATCTCGCAGCAGCCCCGCGGGTAGCCAGGTCTGCTGGAGCCTCCAGGTGCACCGAGGTTTCGGGTTCCACCTGGGTCCGGGCGCGCACAGGACTCTGCCCAGGACGCGTAAGGACGTGGAACAGCTCGTCCACAACAACGAACTCGCCCAGTAGGTTACCATAATTTAAGAAGGAAAAAAAAGAGCCCCGCCGTCGTTTGCCCCGGTTTCCCCTCCTCTTCTTTCCCAGCAGGTGGACGGAGAAGGCGAGCGGCGCG